CAGAAATCAAGAGCCCACTTGAGGGGATCCTTCAGTTTTGAGTCGATAGAACCGTCTAGGCCATGGAATCGGCCCCACTACACGTCCAGGTCGCAAGCTTTAAGAGGCTGCTGCGGCTTCTCACTTAGAAATGCATGAGTAAACCAGAGTTAAAGTTTCTTTCGTTGCCGCAGATTGCAGCTGCCGTCAGCTTCGCCTTCGCAGCTTATCTTCCCCGCGGGAGGAAGTGACACTTCCGAGGGTTTGGGCTGGAGGCTTTGGGTGCAGATGAAAATCCTTAAAAGGCTGCCTCCGAGTCTTTTCCTGAGGTTGAAGTCTAGGGCGGAGTGAATCTGTACTAACCGTCGAGTCTTCTTTATGCCTCAGACCACTAAAGCCTGGAATATCCTTCTGAGCAGATGCCACGATCACTAAGTAAGGCCTGAAACCTAAAACTAGACGCCACAGACTCCGAATCCGAAACCCCCTGTTCGAACCCACAACACCGAATCTCGGCACCCGGATCTTTCAGCCACAACCCGAAATTGTGGATGAACCGCATTGGCGAGCCAATCACGGAGAGTTGACCAATCAGAGCACCTGCGTGGTACTCAAAAGCAGACCTGCATCAGAATGGCAGTTGATAAAATCATGGTTTAGGGCTTCGGCACAAGTCTACCGGATCTGAGTATACTTGGCGGTATCTGCTTGGGTTCGGGTTTAAGCTTCAGGGTTTACTGCTTCTGTAGTCTACGGCCGAGGTCTCGGAAGAGTCTTATCAACTACACAGTTGCTTTCATTTTTCGAGCCTTGAGCACGAGGTCAAGATGATGCAGCAGCGCTCACTCCAAGAGTCCTAGAAGACCTCACGAGCTGCTTGTATCTGACACCTACCTTTTCGAGTCTGTTGTGGGCGTGTTCCGCACAAGTTCCTGCAACCATGACTCGACATTTCGCAGAGTCTTCGTGCTCAGAGAAGCGACTGCGCCCGTCCCTGGAAATCATGGCGGCAGCAAGGTGCGACACGGGCTTAGATACTGTCAGGAATCACCACGAATCCATGGCCTTAGGCTTGCCTGCATTTGCGCTTGCGTTTTTGTGTTTTGTAGAATACGCTTGCCTGCCTTCTTGTGGAGTCTTTGCTGTTGTTCCAGGAGCATGCATGTGCGGTTTCCCACCGACTGCCGGCTTCACACCGAAACCTTACCCCTTGCATCAGGAGCTGGCTTGACCAGGAGGGTTGAGAAGCAGAGCCATTCAGAAATCCAGGCAGTGCAGGTGTGGTTTCTGCAGTCGGCACAGGTGTCTGTTGTTGGAAAAGATTTTTAACAGCATGCTATAAATCTGAATGTCTCTATTTCGCAATCTTTTCATTACAAGTATTGTAGCAACCGTCAGCATGCCAAGGGCTCCTGGGCTCACTGGCCAGGCGCTCTGCCTTTTCCATCGCCCTGGCCGGGGCTCTTGCGCTCCTGGCGCTGAGAGCATCGCTGAACTTCGTTGCTTTGGCGCGACTCTCAAGATGAAGGCAATAGCAACGTCAGAGGCAAAAGCGCAAACATGACTGCGGCTACCGTGGCTACGACTGCCGCTTCCGCTACTACGACGCCGACGACGATGATGATTACAAATACTACTACCACTACCACTACGTACTACTACTACTACTGCTACTACTACTACTACTACTACTACTACTACTACTACTATATTTTCCACTACTACCTCTAGTACTGCAGTCTAGAACTCAGCAGCTGAACTGCGCATGGTACTCCTACGGTCCTACAAGGGTCCATGGTGAGAGCCATTCATGACCCGTCCGGGTAACTCAGCAAAACGTAACCGGCCCTGCAGCCTAAAACCGGCCTGAACCAAAAGCCCTAACCCCAAAAGGAGCTGATAGTACCATCATGAGCTACAGTAACTGTATAAGTCCTAAATAACCCTAACCCCCCAGTTACCTACTATATAGGGTACTAGAGCCCCTAAGGCCCTATATAGTAGGTACCTGGAGGGTTAGGGTAAGGCAACGAAACATCCACCAAAAAAGGCGGGCGCGCCAGCGGCTCCTCGCAGCTCTGTAGCCCTCAGGGCCTCGATCATGGCCAAGGAGGCCCCAGGGCTGAAAGTTCGAGCGCTTGTGCTGTTGGACCCTGACTATGTCATGCTGTTCTCATGTTGCCAGTTGCTGTTATCACTGCCGTGGTCAGTCTGTCGTCGTGGATGCACCGCTCTCAGGTCTTTTTCCTGCTGTTTGATGTTGCTCGTGTTGTTCAGCCTTTTTCTTTGAGTTGCTGTTGCCGCGCTTTTAGCGATTTGCTGCTGGGTAGTGCTGGCGTTGCTGGATGTGCTTCTGATTGTGCTGGCAGCGGTAGTGCAAGTGGCTTTTGCTGTGGTGCCGGTTGTCCATCCAAATTGTGTCCTCATTGCCGACGATGTCGGCGTTTACTTGTACCCCTGTCCTTCTCCGCCGTCCTCATCGCCGACATTTTGACAAGTCCTATATCGGGAGTACTTTCAAGTTCAGGGGATTTAGCGCGTGTCACGTCGCAGAGGGCTCTGTGCTGTTGCTGTTGCTGTTGCCCTTGCCGTTGCCGCCGTCGTCGTCGTCGTCGTCGTCGTTGTTGTTGTTGTTGCTGCTGTTGTTGGTGTTGTCGTTGTTGGTGCTGTTGTGGTTGTTGTTGTTGTTGTTGTTGTTGTTGTTGTCGCTGCTGCTGCTGCTGCTGCTGCTGCTGCTGCTGCTGCTGCTGCTGGTGTTGTTGTTGTTGTTGATGATGAAGTTGGTGTTGGTGTGGGTGTTGTTGTTGTTGTTGTTGTTGATGAAGTTGGTGTTGGTGTGGGTGTTGGTGTTGGTGTTGTTGATGTTATTGCTACTGTTGTTGTTGTTGTTGGTGGTGGTGCTGGTGGTGGTGGTGGTGGTGTTGGTGTTGGTGTTGTTGTTGTTGTTGTTGTTGTTGTTGTTGTTGTTGTTGTTGGTAGCACGTGCGTCTGCCGCCGCG